CACGCCCTGTCAATTCGACCCTTCCAATACTGGCTACAAGCCGCCCAATCTACAAAGCATCCCTGGCTACCTGGGCCCGTGCAGGGCCAGGCCTTTCCCCCCTGCCCAGGTGACCAGAGCATCGCCTCTCAGGCCCCAGGCTTTTGTCATGCAGACAAGGTGGGAGATCCCTGCCCTGAGGGATTCAACACCAGCCTCTCAGGCTGGCTGAGACAGATCTCTGGAGAGGGGCACCGACGGTGGCATTTCTGCCACACTCTGTGTCAGATAGCCTTGGTGACTGATATTTCTATCTAGGGCTCGTTGCTCAGAAATATCCATTCTTGTGAGCTCTTAGCATGGAGGTGACAAGGGCTCTGCACAACATGTCTTTACTCCGGCTGCAGCTGTAAGGCTCAGAGCCCGGATCTGTCCAGTGCCCCCCACTTGGCTGATATGTGGGGAAAGCAGAGACTGCTCCCCTGGACAGGGGCACAGAAATACTAGTGCTAATCCTGCCCCTTCCATAGGCGGGGATTCACGTCCCTATCGGGATATCCATCACCATTCCTGTGACCTTCCAGACCTGGGCTGTCACACTTCAAATGTATGGGAAAGATTACTGTGGTGGCTCAGTGGGCAGAGAGTGTTTAGCTCCTATGTTACCTGAGTTATCTGTGCTACAGAGTTGAAAAAAAAAATAGCACGCACTGTAGATGCGCAGTGTGAAGAGCCTGATGAATGGTCCTGTGTTGATGACTTTAGCTGTGTAGGACCCCACGTCCTCCAGCCTCAGGCTGGTGATTTGCAGTGAGAGGCCGTTGTTGGGGAAATGCAGGCAGTCCCTATAGCACCTGTTTGTCACAATGACAGCTGAGGGGTCTCCTGGTGCCAGCTTTGCTAGACTGTCTGTGTCAATAATCCAGGCAGCAGCCTCTAATTTCTCCCTCAAGAGAAAACGTGAACATCTCCCCCAGGGTCCCCACCAGCTTATTTGGGGATGAGTCTGCACCTGTTCTGGACCATTCTGCACTTGACGGGGAACAAAGCAGATTCAGGGTGATGGGGCTGGACCACACTGCAGACACAGGCATTCCTCTCCTCAGCCCCTGGTACCCGTGCCTGCAGAGCCTAGGCCCTGCCTGCTCCCAGGGACCTATCCTCAACCTGCAGCAGGGCCGTGGCTTCGCACCTCATCCTGGGTGCTCCTGCCTGCTCTGAGCCTGGTGCTGGTGAGGGCCCCTGCCCCTTGGATAGGCACTGGGATGCAAGGTCCCTGTCCCCAGCCAGGGAGGGGCAGCTCTGAGCTCTTGTGCCCCCTGCGCTGGCCTTTACCCGCTGTCTGCCCCAAGCTGCTGCCTCGCCATGCCTCTGCCCCAGCAACAACATGAGCTCCCCACACCAGGCACCAGCCCCAGGGCACTGCAAGGAGGAGCCCGGCTCTCTGAACTTTCTTCTACTCCACCTTTGAAGTGGCTGTGCTGATACTGGGCCAGGGAGATGACCTGTGGCCCCTGCGCTCCCACCCCTGCAGTGCCCAGGCAGGGTTAGTCACCAGCTCCAAATACAGGGCAGCACGTCCCAGGCTCTGAGCTGTATCCTGGGCTGCTGGGACATCCTCACCCCCAGCAGCACCAGTCCGAGCAGACAGTGGAACAGGGCAACTC